GGGATAGCTGGGTCAAAAGGTGGTTTCATTCCCAGTTTTCCAAGGAATTTCCATACTGCTTTCCATATTGGCTGCACCATTTGCGGTCCCACCAGCAATGTATGAGTGTGCCTTTTCCCCCACATCCTTGTTAACAATTACTGTTGTTTGTATTCTTAATAGCTACCATTCTGACTGGAGTGAGATGAACTCTTAGAGTAGTTTTGATTTGCATTTCTCTAATTGCTAGAGATGTTGAACATTTTTTCATATATTTGTTGATTGATTGTATATCACCTTCTGAGAAGTGTCTGTTCAGTTCCTTGGCCCATTTATTGATTGGGTTATTTGATTTTTTGGTGCTTAGCTTTTTGAGTTCTTTATATACCCTAGAGATAAGTGCTCTATCTGATGTGAAAGTGGTAAAAATTTTCTCCCAAGCTGTAGGCTCTATATTCACCTCACTGATCCATCCAATTTATTAATTCTTGATTTTAATTCTTGTGCTATAAGAGTGTTATTAAGGAAGTTGGGGCCTAATCCACATGATGGAGATTTGGGCCTACTTTTTCTTCTAATAGACCTGCACAGTGTCTCTGGTTTGATTACTAGGTCCTTTAACCACTTTGGGTTGAGTTTTGTACAGGTGAGAGAGAGGGATTTAATTTCATTTTGTTGCATACGGATTTCCAGTTTTCCCAGTACCATATCTTTTCTACAATGTATGTTTTTGGCACCTTTGTCTAATGCAAGATAACTGTAATTATATATGGGCTAGTCTCTGTGTCCTCTATTCTGTACCATTGGTCTACCAGTCTATTTGGGTGCCAATACCATGCTATTTTTGTTAGTATTGCTCTGTAGTATAGTTTAAGGTCTGGTATAGTGATGCCACCTGATTCTCTCTTCTTGCTAAGGATTGCTTTAGGTATTCTGGGTCTCTTATTTTTCCAGATGAATTTTATGACTGCTTTTTATATTCTATGAGGAATTTCACTGGGATTTTGATTAGAATTGCATTATAATGCCGTATGATGCTTTTGGCAGCATGGTCATTTGGACAATACTAAGTCTACCTATCCAAGAACAAGGGAGATCATTCCATCTTCTAAGGTCATCTTTAATTTCTTTCTTAAGCATTCTGTAGTTTTTTTGTAGAGGTCTTTCACCTCTTTTGTTAGGTTGATTCCCAATTATTCTATTTTTTTGAGGCTATTATAAATAAGGTAGTTTTCCTCATTTCCCTTTCAGATCATTTGTCACTGATATACAGAGATACCTTTGATTTATGAGTGTTGATTTTATATCCTGCTACTTTGATGAATTCATTTACTAATTCTAGAAGTTTTCTGGTGGGTTCTATATTTTATAGATATAGAATCATATCGTCGACAAATAGTGCTAATTTGAGTTCTGCTTTACCTATTCATACCCCTTTAATTTCTTTTGTCTAATTGCTCTGGACAGTGTTTTAAGAACTATTTTAGATAGAAGTGGTGAAACAGGACATCCCTGTCTTGTTCTGGTTTTTAGAGGGAATGCCTTCAATTTTTCTCCATTTAGAATGATATTGGCCTGGGGCTTAGCGTAGATAGCCTTTACAATGTTGGGATTGTTCTGTTGTACCTAATTTTTCTAGTGTTTTGAACATGAAGGGTGCTGTATTTTGTCAAATGCTTTTTCTGCATCTTATTGAGATGATCATATAATTCTTATCTTTAAGTCTATTGATGTGATGAATTTACATTTATTGATTTCTGTATGTTGAACCAACCTTGCATCCCTAGGATGAATCCCACTTGATCATGGTGCACTATCTTTTTGATATGTTTTTGTATTCGATTTGCCGGAATTTTATTGAGGATTTTTGCATCTATGTTCATTAGAGATTGGTCTGAAGTTTTCTTTCTTTGATGTGTCTTTGCCTGGTTTTGGAATCAGGCTGATATTGGCCTTATAGAATGAGTTTGGAAGTGTTCCCTCTTTTCCTATTTCCTGAAATAAATTGAAGAGTATTGGTATTAGTTCTTCTTTAAAGGTCTTGTAGAACTCGGCTGTGTAGCCGTCCAGTCCTGGGCTATTCTTGGTTGGTGTCTTGTATTTCGTCACTTGAAATTTATCTGTTTAAATTGTGTATATCATCCTGATTCAATTTGGGCAAATCATGTGACTGTAGAAATTTGTTGATGCCTTTGATATTTTCTATTTTATTGGACTACAAGTTTTCAAAATAATTTCTAATTATCTTCTGTATTTCTGTAGTGTCTGTTGTGATATTTCCTTTTTCATCACTGTATGTTAGTAACTTGAGTTTTCTCACTCCTTCTCTTTGTTAGCATGGCTAAGGGTCTGTCAATTTTATTTATTCTTTCAAAGAACCAACTTTTGTTTTGTCAGTTTTTTCAGTTGTTACTTTTTTTTCAATTTCATGGATTCCTGCTCTGATTTAATTATTTCCTGACTTCCATGAAATAAACTTTCCTCTTAGTGTCCTTCTTAGTGCCTTCTTAGTGTCCCAGAGAGTTTGATACATTATATCTGTGTTCTCATTCACCTCTAAAAATTTTTAATCTGCTTCTTGATGTCTTTAGCAACCCATTGTTCATTCAGTAGTATATTATTTAGTCTCCAGGTGTTGGAGTAGCTTTTATTTTTTATTTTATCATTTTTTTCTAATTTCATTCCATTATCATCTGATAGAACGCAGGGTAGTATCTCTACTTCTTTATATTTGCTAAGAGTTGCTTTGTGGCATAATATATGGTCTATTTTAGAGAAGGATCCATGTGCTGCTGAGAAGAAAGTGTATTTGCTCATTGAAGGATGAAATATTCTATATATGTCAGTTAAGTCTAAGTTATTGATTGTATTATTGAGTTCTATAGTTTCTTTGTTCAGCTTTTGTTTGGATGATCAATCCAGTGGTGAAAGAGGTGTGTTAAAGTCACCCAGCATTATTGTGTTGTGCTCTTTTTGACTCTTGAATTTGGGAAGAGTTTGTTTGATGAACATAGACACTCCATTGTTTGGGGTATATATATATATATATATATATATATATATATATATATATATATATATGTATTAACTTTATGTCTTGTTGATGAATGGTTCCCTTAAGCAGTGTGAAATGTCCTTCTTTATCCCTTTTGAGTAACTTTGGTTTGAAGTCTACTTTATTTGATATGAGAATGGAAAACCCTGCTTGCTTCTGCCGTCCATGGGAGTGTTATGATTTTTCCCAACCTTTCACCTTCAGTTTCTGAATGTCTTTTCCTATGAGTCTCTTGGAGGTAGCATATTTTGGGGCCTTTTTTTAAAAAAAAATTCTAATTTGCCAGTCTATGTCTTTTGATTGGTGAGTTTAGGTCATTAACATTCAGGGTTATTATTGAGTCATGATTTGCATTCCCAGTCATTTTTATTTATTTTTGGTATTTAACTTGACTTGGTTTCTCCTTTGATTAGATTTTCCTTTATTGTAATACCTCCCTGTGCTGATTTTCATTGCTGTTTTTCAATTCCTCATGGAATATTTTGCTGAGGATGTTCTGTAGTGCAGGCTTTCTAGTTGTAAGTATTTTTAACTTTTGTTTATCAAGGAAGGATTTTGAGATCACTGAGAACTAAGATAAATACTTTGAAGGGTAACATGAAGAAAATATCTTAGTACTTGACCCATTTAGTTTCGGTTCTTTTTATTATGCAGACAGTGGGTAGTCTTCTCCTTAGACTGTGAGCTATAGCTTATATTAAACACATGTGAGGCCCTGGGTTCGATCCTCAACACCACATAAAAATGAATAAAATAAAGATATATGTCCAACTACAACATATATATATATATATATATATATATAAAGAAAGTCACTCAGTCTTCCATTATAGTACATTCACTCTTAATTTGATCTGGAGGGCTCTTGGGTTTGTCCCATAAGTTCTCTTTTCTAAGTAACCTCATCTACTTACAAATTTACACGTGTAAGCATTGAATCTTTCCACTGACTGGCTCCATTGCTTGTTTTAATTTTATCTCACATATTTGTTTTGAAGTATTTGCAAAAGTATGTTTGCACACAGAGAAATACACAAGATCCTGAGTTTGTGTGGTAGTACGTTGTGCCTTCCTATTTTCCATTAATGTATGAATCTATTTATGTGCAACAGTCCATGAGTTTTGTGTACAAATTTGTGTTTTACTTTGAATTCACTGCTGTAACACCAATGTAACCCACATTTAATCCTTTAAGAATGGGGAAAAATAAACAACTACTTTGCTACTTGAAATCAACAAGTAGCAAAGAGATGATGAAATCTTCCCAAGAAAGTTGAGACTGATATGCAGGTGACATGTTATTATTTTAAATTTGTCTTTTAATAGATTCAGAAGCTGCCTAGATCTTTAATTCCTTAGAATCTTTAACTTTAATTCATTTTCTGATAATAAAATGAGCATGGACCTGGGGATGTGGCTCAAGCGGTAGCGTGCTTGCCTGGCATGTGTGCGGCCCGGGTTCGATCCCCAGCACCACATACAAACAAAGATGTTGTGTCCGCCGAAAACTAAAAAATAAATATTAAAAAAATTCTCTCTCTCTCTCTCTCTCTCTCTCTCTCCCCCCGCCCTCTCTCTCTCACTTTCTCTTTAAAAAATAAATAAATAAATAAATAAAATGAGTATTGTTTGTTTTCAGCATTTTTATTACTAAAAATTTGAAAGCATAATACGCAGAAGACAAATGGATTTTTCGCTCCATAAAGATTATGGCTGATAAAAAGATATTTGCTACAAAATTAAATAAGACTTAAAAGAGAGATATAATTAGAAAAAAGTTCCTTTGTTTCTTCAAGTTCACATGCAAACATAGCTTTAGTGTACATGGAAATTTGGACAGTGTTAACTTTAGTGTTAATTCTGCCTTAGTTTCAATTGTAGTTCTGATTCTTTTATGCCAGATTCTGAACTTTAATGGCAAACTGCATTCAGCATTGTTTAAATTCATTTTTTGTCTGTCTTCCAGATGTATCATCGAATCCGGCACTCAGAGTGCATCTACCGGGTAACCATGGAAAAGCTGTCCTACCACAGCATTTGCACTGCTGAGGAGTGGCAAGGCCTCATGCGCTTCAACCTCCCTATGCGGCTCTGCAAAGAAATTGAGCTGTAAGTATTTCACTTGGTTAGTTTCTTCAGCAGCAGATTCTCAGTTTCATTGAAAAAAAGTAAACCAGGTTGTAGAATTAGAATCACAGTTATGATGAATTAATCTAAATGCTAGCATGTATTATTACTCTGTTGCGTACTTTACACTATATAATATTTAATGTTCAAAATAGCATTTAATGTCAGATACATAAAGTTTTCATCTACATAACTTTGCATTTTTATATTTATGAAATTCTTATTTCAGTTTAAAAAGGAGAACAATTTCAACTCCAACAATACTTTCAATAAAATCCCCCCCTATGCATTTTCTAGTATCAATAGTATAACTTTTGGTGCTTATTTATTTCTCTGATAACAACAGCAGCATTTTTTTTAATGGTTCAATTTTTAATAAGTTCTTGACTAGTCAAAACTAATCTTTTTTTTTTTATTTATAAAATTTGCTTTAATTAGTTATATGACAGTAGAATGCATTTATGCACTTTGATATATCATACATAGATGTGGTATAATTTCTCATTTTTCTGATTGTACATGTTATAGAATTACATTGGTCCTGCAGTCTCATATATAAATTATATATTTTCATAAAGTAGTAACATCTGTTTTGTTCTACTCTCTTAAAGAATTAGTAAAGCAGGTTTGAAATAAGACATTATTACAACAGCAGCATATTTTTTTAATGGATTGTTTAATAGAAATAAAGCCAGAGATATATTAAGTTCCTAAGGGAATATGTGGAATCTCCCAAAAACTTTCAGTTCCAGGCAGGAGTGACTGAGAAGTCAGAGAAATGATGGCCATGATCCTGGGGTCTTTTTGGTTTCTTGATAGAAAAAACCATTTAAATGATTTTCTTTACTTTCTGTGTGCCCTGCTTGCTTTTAGTAATAAACTACCCTTTTAATTTCAGGTTCCACTTTGACATTGGTCCTTTCGAAAGCATGTGGCCTGGGATCTTTGTCTACATGGTTCATCGGTCCTGTGGGACGTCCTGGTATGAAGGCTCTGAATGCTCTCTGTGTACAGTCTTCAGTGACATGACTCCCTCCTTCCCTTGCTCATGCACCTCACCTTTTTTTGTTTACAGTCCTTTTCAATATGACATATATGAATTTGTTTCTAAATATTTAAGTTAAAATGGGCTGGTTTTGTTGGGCAAAGCAGCAGCCTTTTCAGATTTTCCATAATGACTGCTGAGTCCCCAGCAGTCTGAAGCCTGGTTCACAGCCATACATCTAAGAGGCGTCATGGAAATATGTTACAGGCTGTGTGGCTGAAGGAGGCAAAGCTTGCTTCTTGGCAGAATTACCTGCTTTAGAAGCTCTTAGAAAGCTCTGCATAAACAGAGCATCAACTATATATCTTATCAGTTTGTGTGTAAAATAAAAAGTCTCCACATTCAAAGTGTGATACATCGCTAGTAATTACAGTTTGATCTCATTGCAAATCTCTACCTGTTTGGCCTGCCTGTTCTATGGGCCTTTGTGCCTTTAGCTCTGATCTTTTGCAGCTTAAATACACAAACTTAAAATGCAAGCATTAATTTTTTTTGCACTTTTTGACTCATTTAGGCATAAATGCCTCCCAGAGTCTCTCCCTCTCCTTTGCCTCCCCCATCTACCCCCTCTCTATATATATGCAGTGTGTGAATATGAATGTGTTTTTTTTTTTTTTTTTGAAAAATATTGGCTCAATAAATCTTTGAGCAAGATGATGTTACGTGATAGTTTTTTTGAGTACTGTGGGTCCTAGAAAATGCTGGTAAACATGAGGTGCATGCATGGGGGTTAATGATGGAGACTGCATGCTGGTTCTGCTGCTTATCCCTAGCGGGACAGTTAATATATCTGAACATAACCGATGAAAGAATCTCTTGCTTCATTTTGGCTGGAGAAAGAGGAGAGAAGAGATCATTTTCCAGTAATCATGGTTCAGCAGTCAATGTGGGAATCCTTGTAGTGCAGATGTGTAAGGAGTAGAAATGTGTAACTCAGCCAGAGGCTCTTCTGAAAATTAGTGGTTCTCTGCTGGCTTTGGTTTTAAGAGTTTCTTTTCCTCACAGCTTTGAGCTTGAAAAGTTGTGTCGTTTCATTATGTCTGTGAAGAAGAACTACCGACGGGTTCCTTACCACAACTGGAAGCATGCGGTCACGGTAGCACACTGCATGTATGCCATATTGCAGAACAATTACGGGCTCTTCACAGACCTCGAGGTGGGTGTGCACACCCTTGCCCCTTTCACGCCATCTCAGTGGATTCAGCGCAAATTGATAACATGCCATGGTGACCTGCTGTTACAGGACAAATTTTGTGTCAGTAAATTAGAAGCTGCACATTTTTTTAGATTCAGTACCCAAGAATTTAGCATATTCTTTTTTATAAGAAAGTAGATAAAGAAATTTCAACTTCACCAAAATATTCTTCAAGGAAATACTAATTTTGTAGGCTTTCTTTCTGATTGAATTTTAAATGTTTTGAAAGGATATAAGCAAAGTGAATTCTATATGCCCTGGCTAATATGGACACATCTCACCAAATAGAGGATTCAGAACATTAAATACAGTGAAAACCATAAATGATTTTTTAATTTACTCTAGCATAAGGAAACAGATCTACCTAATGTTACAAACGAGTTGGTAACCACCCAAAGCTTCCAAAATAGAATATTCAAGATTTCGAGACTTTCTTCCCCATTTAACCACTATAGTCAAATTCCCTTATTGGAAAGCCCAGTTAAGCACTGAGCCCTCCTTGGCCCTAGAGATTCTGATCCCACAGCTAGATGACCTGAACCTCAAGTATACCCCTCTGACCACACTTGTCCTGATGATGCCTACCAACACTCTGATCCAGTCCCCCTTTCTTCCCTCTGTAGACTGGTGTCACACTTCAGGTGACATCTGGTTGTGCAGAGGAGGACACCCATTACTTGAACTTCTTTTCGAGATCACTTTCAAATTAGAACCCAGTATTCCTGAGATCCAGCCTCTTCTTTTTCCACCCTTTCTGTCCAGATTCACAGTCTGCAGCAGTCTTGAAAGGTGGATTCCAGAAGGAGAAATGGCCATTTCAGAGAAGGAATCAAAAGTATTCCTCTTTAAAAATTTTTTTTTTTAGTTGAAGCAGAGTTTAAACTAATAAATAATGTATTATTTATCACCTCTCAAGAAAAAGATCCAAATGAAATATGTTATTTTTCCACATTTAAACAATTTGCAATTCTACTAAAACCCCATTCTTTTGGGACTTTCAACATTTTCTCCATTTAATTCCTCTTAAGGAAGCAACTTCATTGTTTCCTTTTGCCATAAGATATCTTAGTGAGTTTAAGAATTTTATAAATTACACTTTCAAATAGAGTAGCAATGAAATTTGTATTTTGAAGATTGAAAATTTAAAGGTAAATAAGAAAAATTTTATTGATGCCATATTCCTAAATTATTTCTGGAATTATATATTTTCATTTCCCCCAAACTCAGGACTTTTTGGCTAAAAATAATCCCAAATTTTTAAAATATTTTAAAAATATTTTAGAATATGTGATCTCTAGTAGGGCTATTAGAAATTATTTGATGTCAGTAAAGGAAAATGTTTTACAAAAATAATTCTTTGTAAGTCATTTTCAGATTTATGATTTTAGCATACTTTTTTATAAAACTGTTGAAAGTTGTGCCAATAAAAAGTAATAAAAACGTTAGAAAGATTGGAATATAACAGGTTTCATCTATTGTGCTAGATTTTAAAACCTTGGAATTTTTTACCAGATAAATTATGTGACTATAGCAGCATAAAATATGGAAACAATTCAAAACCAAAGTGATACTCAAAACCTTAACTGATTCCGTTACCTTTAATAGCCAGCATATGTGGTTGGTAAGATGACACTATATCTATTAAGGTGTGCGAGTGACTGGTGAGACTTCCTTTCCAGTCAAGCTGCAGGAGAAGGCAGTTGTATTACATCAAGATGAAGAAGGAGCGGGATGTGAAAAGAAAAGTACACTTGGGAGAATGTCTGCTGACTCCCATGGTGACCTCCCAGAGTAGCACCTGCCCTCAGCAGGCCCCGCCTGTGCAGTTCCACTCCAGCATACTCCATGACTCACCCTCTGTGAGAACACAACCCGTCTCCATTGCCATACCTTCCCTCTTTTGGATCATCCCATCTGTTAAAATTCATTTGGAAGAATAAAAGATGCAGAATAGCCAAAGCAATTCCAAGCCCAAAAAGCATGCTGGAGGTATTAAAATACCTGACTTCAAATTATACTACAGAGCTACATTAACAAAAACTGCATGGTATTGGCATAAAAACAGACACATAGACCAATGATACAGAATAGAAAACAGAACACAGTCATTTGATCCTCAACAAAGGTGCCAAAAACATACATAAGAGAAAAAAACGACCTTTTAAACAAATGATGCAGGGGAAATTGGATTTCCATATGTAGAAGAATGAGACTAGACACATATTTCTCATCCTGCACCATAATAAACTGAAAATGGACCAAAGACCTAGGAATTGGACTAGAAATTATGCAAATCCTGGAAGAAAACATAAGTCAATTCTCCAGCATATAGACACAGGCAAGGACTTTCTCCATAGGACATTTCTCCCTAAAGCTCAGGAAACAATGCCAGGAGCTAATGAGTGGGTTGGCATCAAACCTAAAAGCTTCACAGCACAGGAAACAATTAGGAATGTGAAGAGAGAACCCACAGATGGGAGAAAATCTTTGCCAGCTATTCTGACAGAGGATTAACATCTAGAATATATAAAGAACTCAAAAAACTTAACATCAAGAAATCAATTAACCCAGTTAATAAATGGGCAAGGAATTAAACAGATACTTTTTAAAAAAAGAAATACAATAATTATGAAAACATGTTCAACACTATTAGCAACTGGGGAAATGCAAATGATATAAAACTACACTGAGATTTTATATTACACCAGTCAGACTGGCAGTCATAAAGATTACAAATAATAATAAATGCTGGAGAGGATGTGGAGAAAAAGAAACACTTTTACACTATTGGTGGGATTATAAATTAGTGCAACCTAAGGAAATCAGTATGCAGGTTACTCAAAAACTAGGCACAGAACCACCATATGACCCAGCTTTACCACTTCTTCAGAAGGTTAAAGTCATCACAAGATAGTGATAAGTGCATATCCATGTTTACAGCAGTGCAATTCATAATAGCCAAGCTATGAAACCAGCCTAGGTGTCCCATCAATGGATGAATGGATAAAGACAATGTTATGTATATATATACACAATGGAGTTTTATTCAGCCATAAAGAAAAATGAGGCTGGGTGTGGTGGTGCATGCCTGTAACCCAGTGGCTCTCGGAGGCTAAGGCAGGAGGATTGCAGGTTCAAAGCCAGCCTCATCAAAAGTGAGGCCTAAGCAACTCAGTGAGATCTTGTCTGTAAATAAATACAAAACAGGGCTGGGGATGTGGCTTAGTGGTCAAGTGCCCCTGAATTCAATCCCTAGTAGCCAAAAAAAAAAAAAATTATGTCATATGCAAGAAAATGGGTGGAACACGAGACCTTTATGTTAGGTGAAGTAAGAAGGTCCAGGGTTGTATGTTTTCTCTCAGATGTGGAAGCTAGAGAAGAAAAGGAAAAAGGGGGCGGGGGGAAGAATGTCATGAAAATCAAAGGTAGATTAGTGGAGGACAGGGACCAGGGGTGGGGGGAGGGGAAGTGATGGGGGAAGGATGAGGGCCAGGTCAGATTGCTGCATTGTGTGCAGGTAGAAATATATGTAATAAAAAGTCCCATCCCGTGTACGACTATAACGCACCAATAAAAATATGGAAAAAATTAAAAATAAAGATTAGATGATGACACTGTTTTGCTAAAAGCCCCATAGTCATCCCTCGTCCCTTGGATAGGACTGCATCCTGTCTTCCCTCAGACCTCTCTCAGGAAGTGCTCTCCTGTTCCTTCTGCTGTGCTCTTTCCTACACCTTCTTGCTTCTGACCACCTTCCTAAGGCCTGTTCTGGCTACTTTATTTAATATTCAGCCTGTCTTCCTTGATCCTTTATAGCCCTTTTAAAGTTTTCTACATAATTTGCCATTTTTACAGGCCATACGATAACTTATTATATTCATTGTTTATAATAGCAATAACATTGTCAGAATTTAGCATCAGATTGGTCTTGAATGAAAGAGAACTGAAGCTGCCCTCTCCTTGTGCAGATCTGCTTCTTCCACGGTGCTTCAGAACACTTGATACCTCCTGCACTTGCTCTTAGAGCTGAGCAGGAAGACTCGAGAATAATTTGACTGTCAAGTTCATATGCAGAAAAACAAAGAGGTCAAGAGAAGTTTGATTCCCTGAAGTTTTAAATATTCCTAAGGGTGTTGAATATATTAAAGGCAGAAATAAATGTGAAAGTGAGCTGCAGGTGTCCTCCTGTCTCATTTCTTTGTTTTGAACATCTCTGCCTTATTTTTTTAAGCGTAAAGGACTGCTGATCGCCTGTCTGTGTCATGACCTGGACCACAGGGGCTTCAGTAACAGCTACCTGCAGAAGTTCGACCACCCGCTGGCAGCTCTCTACTCCACCTCTACCATGGAGCAGCACCACTTCTCCCAGACAGTTTCCATCCTGCAGGTGAGCCCTGCCCACTGGGCCCATGCCCAGGGCCTCTTGGGAGGTGCTGATGCTTCCTAGGTGAGACGGGAATGTTGTTAGGCCTACTGGGAAACATCAGTTGCATTTTATTGTGCTATCTTATATTTATAGTCATAACTAAATGATTATGTGGATCTTTTGAATAAAAAAATCCTTGACAAAGATGTCAAATATATATATTTTGCAATTACATTTGTTTTCCACAGGTTATATTAATAATATATGATCTCCAAAAACAAATTTCATTTTACATAGTTTAATTATATGGATTATCATATTCTTGAAACCAGAATGTATTCAGCATCTTAAAAGTTAGGTAAATTCAAGGTTTTCAAGTGCATTGAATTCCTTTTATCTTTTCTTGCATGTGGGTTTTTATTTTATTGCTTTTAAGATATTTCTGGTGATTGCTCTGGTTGATGGTAGAACTCGTTTCAGTAAAACTTGTCATGCTCCTTCTTTCTTAAACCTTTTTCTCAGCCTCAGCGTAACAAGGTAGCTGTTGTGTCAAAATGGTTTGAATCCTATCACAGAGAGAGTTTTTAAATTATGACCTGTGTTGGCTTAAGGACGATGGACCCTGTATTTCCCTCCTACCGCCAGCACCTAACAAAGGAAAAGGAATCTGTATGGGTGTTCTGGGTGGCGAGTCTACAGGAAGTCTCGAGTCTCCAGAGGCGCCTGGAGAAGTGCCAGCAGTGAGTCTAGCGGTAGCTGTCCATGGACAGAGGGCAAACAGAAAGGCTTTTTCCACTTGGCGCAGTTTTTTGCTTCCCTCTGGACAGCCCGGTATCACTTTCTCCCTTCAGCTTCTCTAAGGCTTCTCTAGTGCTCCTCATTTGGCCTGTGTGCCCAAAGGGTTGGTAGTACTGCATGCTCAAACCTTAAAACCCAACTAAACTTAGCTGTCTGGGCACTGAGAAGGTAAGTGATGAAATTCCTGATGTGCAACTGCTGCTCTGATATCCTGCTGGGTAAAAGCGAAAGAGGTGTTAGATATGGAGTGTTAGATATTTTAGTTCTTTTCAATCTATAACCCCTAAGTAGCAGAGTGGCTGATGTTGCACTTGTTTATAGATGAGTTCTGCCCCTGAGAGCTCTATGTGAGCATTGGTCCTTTCTTTTATAAATGATGTATATTTGAATAGATGCATGTATACATGCAGCACACTTAGAAATTTAATGAGGATAGAAGGTGTGTTTAGAAATATATATAAGTCACGCTTTTTGTAAGTAGGTGAACATTGTAGAACTTCATCGAAGTTATATTTACTTTGACCTCACTCACTCATTATTTGAAGGTATGTTTTTGTACAACTAGAAGGATGGATTCTGGAAATGACATCAGTATGCCTTCAGTTAGAACTCACTGAATTCACATCCCATATCCTAAGTAAATTCATATGTTTGATGATGGCAGTGCTTCTAGTAGTTTAATCTGCAAATGAATTTTAATAGATTTCATAATATTCCTTTAGAAAGCCTATTTTAATATAATAGAATTATCTTTGAAGTAGGCCAGCATTAAAAAGCAGATTGCCACTAGGATAGACTAAAACTAATCCTGTGATTCAGCAGCTGTGTGGAGCAGCCAGACCCCCTGAGCTACTACTGTCACAAATGACTGTGGGTCTAGCTGGAACTATCCATCTGCATAGCCAGATAAAAAAGATACCCAGTTCAGTGTACTGCATCGCGTTGGGAATGGTTCCCGTTTGGGCACCCACAGGGCTCTGTGAGTGCTGATTTCCATTTTGGCTCCCAGTGTCACCTGCTGGGTAGTCTGGGCAAGCAGAAGGATACTACTGGCCACCTCAGCAGCAGCAATAAGCAGGCAGTTGTCAAATACATCTTAAAACTACCCTCTGACTCACTCGTACACACAGCTCTCGGGTGGGCAGGCAGAGACCAGGAGAGTACAACTGTCAGAGTGAGAAGGGTGCAGTGGACGAGGGGTGAGGTGAGTCATGATACGGAGACTGTAAAGCACAGAGAGAAGGGCGGACCACAGTCTCGCCTCTCACTGAGCTTCCTGTTCTCTGCTGGTGCTGCTGGTGAGCCAGCCTGCCACTCTGAGGACACAGTGGGCGTTCTGAAGTCAGAAGTTCCTGCTCAGTCCTCAGTGAAAGTCAGGGCCCCTCTGGCCACTGCAGCTTCCTGAGGGCCTGTCACCACCTTTCCTACTCGACTCCCCATTCCAGTCTCATGCTCTTCTGTTCTATTGCCTTTCCCTACCTACCGTTATTTCTCCAGGCCTGTCCCTCAAACCTATCCTCCAGATCCATGCCTGAGGTGGTATTCTCCTGTGACAGTGTCATCAGTGGCTCTCTAAAGCCTTAGGAATGAATTCCCAGTTCTATAATTGATATATAAATCTTTTATGAATGGCCTCTGCTGTTGCAGGACCATGGTATCTGCCAGACGCTTGTGCTGTTCTCCTCCCTCTTTCTGGAACCAGCTTCTTATTTTTTAGGCTCAGGTTGTGCTTTAATTTCTCTGGTGACATCACTTATGGAATTCCCATAGAGCAGGGCACAGCATTATGCCCCTTTTCCATGATCCCTGGGTGTCTCAAACATATGTATGACTTAGGTGTTTTTTTTTTTAATTTTGTATTGAAATTTTCTGTTATAAGCATAGCTTTCTAATTCCTTTGAATTGTAAATTGGTGAAGACAGTGGGTGCCCCTTGCTCATGTCTATACCAAGCTCTGGGTCTGTCCTTCTGTGCAGAGATGGGGTTGTGAAGGTACAGTGTGGGTTAGGAGGAGTCAGAGTGGGCAGGACAACTGGGCAAATCTTGGAGGGTAGAAACTCCAGGTCTCATGTAGGAGAAGGAAGTGGCTGTGTCCCCCGGGGCACAGGGCTCTCCTAGTGGCCCAGGAGCAGAAGGCCAGTGAGGTGCCTTCCAGCGAGATTATTCTGTGTGGCCATCGACATCCAAGGAAGCAGGTGACTTTGTATTCTTACCTATAATGTTTGTATTTTAACCCTTGTGAGAGAAGCATTATTATTGCTGTATTAAATCAGTTTGTTCTATTTTCTAATGAGATGTTACTGATCATTTTGAATATTGAAACTATCTACTTTCTATCCTTTGCCCTCTGAGAATACTCTGTTAAGTTCTCAAAAGTCAAGTTTTAGAAACTGAACTAATTAGGAATATTTAGTCTCATTATGAGACAGTATTCTTATTAATCTTCAATTATCTAATGATTTTGAAACATGATAAAATTTCAGAAAGTTATCTATGTGTATTTTGGGATCCCATGACTTTTTCATTACGTTTTATAGCAATAATATTTATGAATATCAGCTAGAGTCTTCCAATTAATTCCATTCATAGAATTTACTGCTGTCTATTTCAATAATAGCAAAATAGTACTTGCATGCAACATGACCTTTACTAACAAATTAAAATGTATAACCTGGGGGCTGGCTTATATTCTCTCCTTCTCTGCCAATGAATAGAAATGGTCTTTGGCCATCAAACTCATTTTGGAGCATATCTGTTTGTTTCTTCATTTGCTTTTCCTTCTCTCTTTCCCTTAACTCTTGGCTCTTAAGTCATGCTGGTGGATTTTATCATTATCACCACCACCCTCATTTTATCTATTGGGTACTTACTGTGAACCGTAAGTGTGTTTTGCATATTTTAATACATTCAGTTGTTTAGAATATTCCTATAAGATTATTTTTGTTCATTTCATTTAAAAAATAAGAATAAAATGCATCAAAGAGATTAAGAGATTTGTCCATTTGTCACATGACTAGTGAGAACAAGATGAGCAACAGGAGGTGTTTGGTCCCCAAAGCCTGTATTCTTAATCAAATACTGCAGTGCTCCCTAACCTGTGGTTTGAAGCTGTAGGTGATTAAACAGCAAAACAAGCACTCTGTGTATTTTAAAAGCATGCTCGATGCAGAGTATTGTATCATTGACTTCACACTTTTTGTGCCAGAACATCTGAATGATCTAGCCCAGCCCTGTGGCTTCCTGGAACAGGAATCTTCAACCCACTTAGGGCAGGATTGCCAGGGTCAAAGCCTGGATTGGTTGGCAATCCAGATGTAGAAACTAGGTGTTGTGGCCCTTCTGAAAGAATCTCCTTTAGGGATGAGCAGAATAGAGTTTTGGGGGAGATTATTTGTGATTAATAGTAATATTTTTAAAACTTGCTGAAAATAAGACTGATGGATCAGTTTCTGTTCCTATCTTGTGTTGACTTACTAGCAGTTTTTCTGAAACAATCCTCATGCTATCACCTAACTTAAAACTATCAATTGCTCCTTATTACCTCCAGGATAAATTTTGGGAGAAGTACTGAGGATTGAACCCAGGGGCACTCAAGTCACTGAGCCACATCCCCAGCCCTATTTAAAACATTTTTAAATTTTGAGACATGCTTAGTTGCTTAGGGCCTCACTAAGTTACTGGCCTTGAACTTGTGATCCTCCTGCCTCAGCCTCCTGAGATGCTGGGATTACAGGTGTGTGCCACTGCACCTGGCCCTCCAGGATGATATTTTAATACATTAAGGCCTTTTGAAAACTTGGACTTAGATTAGTACATTCAATTTGCCTTGGTTGTATAGCAATTTTTGTGATTTTCTTCAAATATCGTGATTTCTGTAGTCTCAGGAGCTCCATATCACAGGCTGCTGCTGCTTCTGCTTGTCCTGTAGTATCCATGTCCTCTCCCAGGAAAAGCCTCACATGGTCTCCTTCATTGAGCTCAAATACAGAGAATGTTCTATTTTAATTGCATACTTATACCCTTACCTTTCTACCAACTATGAACTCCTCAGAAAACCAACTTTTATTGTTTATGACCTTGGATATAGTGGTTACTAAACTACTATGTCCACACATAAAATGGAACACTGCAGACTAAATATCTGCTGAATAAGTGAAGTCAGATCGTGGGGTTTTCATTTGTGGGAAGGACACAACTGTGGAGGAGGTGCTTAGAATTATCCC